TAGTAAACAATTATGTAATGCGGGCCAAAATTTTGAAGATCATCGGCCGTTAGCCAATCAAAATCGAGGATCTGCCGCGCATTTTTTGTGCGGCTCTCGATTGGTGGTAAGGCGGTTAACATCACCCCTCCCCCTCCCCTTTGATGTCTCCCGGTAAAATGAACATATAAAAAAGTAAAAATCAAAAAATACCGTATAAGTTGCTTAAGTATGTTCAGTTCTTCTGTCTTACATTAATTAAACGATGGATTATGCCGAATATCCGGATTTATATAGCTATTGGATGCAAACATCCAATAACTATATATTATTTGCGTTTATCATGGCGGATTGAGACCAGCTATTAACAACAATATAATGCGATATTATTTGGAATAATTAACCGATATAGCAATGGGAATTATAATATTAATATAATGCCTATATATTTTATTCTACATGCAGGAATTATAAATCTATAAGTATCAAATAGTATAATGGTAATTTAATATTGTAAATATTTCGATTATGTTAAAAAGTTAATGTTTCATTTCACTATCTAAATATATTTAAATTTTATATCATATTTAAAATAAAAATTATAATTTAAAATAGCTGAATCAGTAATTGTATGGAGTAATATAAACATCTTCGTCAATTTCTCTACGTTTACGGATTTTTGAATAATCATTAACAATTTTAGCATAATAAAGCTATGACAATAAAAAATTTAAACCTTAATTATTCGAGTATTATTAAAATAAATGAAAAACTTAGTTAATGTTAAGCATACCGTGGAAATAATCTCAACACCACCTACAGAGGCAATTGTTAATAGGAGACTGTTATAGTCAGTTTCGCAAATTTGAGTATCCTTGTTACCATCTAAGTTTTGTTGATTTTTACAAGTTTCTATGAAACTATTTTTATATAACACAATATAATAAATCAAATAACCAAAGCCAAGCGTAATGATTATAAAGAAAACAAAAATAAAACGAGAATAAATTTCTAAGGTATGCGAAATTTTCTGTATATTTTATAAAAAAAAAAAGTTAAATTTTGTAAATTTAAAATGTTTTATATTTGAATAATAAATTATAATTTTAGTTTCATACCTTGTTAAAAATAAAATAACATCCAAAAATAATTATTAATAAACACAATATTGCATTCAAAAATAAACTTGGCAAAATTACATCTTGATGATTATAAACTTGTAAAAAAAAAATTATAATATTATTATAAAGCCTACAAATAAAAAAATTATAGACAAGACTTAAAGATTGCCTTACGATTAATCTGTATTACATCAATTATAATGAAACCTATTCCTAAGATCTAAATTTAAATAAATATTAGCACATAAACGACTTAACTATTACAGTAAATTCAAAAAATAAATCTAAAAGATACTTTCTAGCAAAAAAAATGTTATAAGATAAACGCCTGTCCCCAAGGGAATGCAACAGCAACACTTATCAGCCATTTTTAAATATATTCTTTTTAAATAATTAATAGATTAAGTAAAAATATTTGGTAAAAATTAAAATTTTTTTTGATCTTTTAATTCTCACTCTCTTATTTATAATTCACGACTGAATTTTAATTCCGTAAATGAATAATTTTTTTTAAATAGATATATTCCGTTGTGTTACGTACATCTTCTGACAAAAATTTCGAGAATAGAAAAACACTGACGTATAAGTATATTGTAAATTCCATTATAATTAAAGAAACTGCATTACTGAGAATGAACAATGAATTTAGCCTATTTTTTGTATACAGTACATGATTTTAGGTTTGAGTAATTAGGGTAGCTGCGCGACGCAACAGTGTCGCGCTAAAACCAGGAACGTGATATAATTACAATATGAGCACTAAGT